GCCCCCTGGTGGACACTAGAGAGAATGCAGCTCTAACACATGAAGCATCAGCTTCACTCTTTAGAACCGGAGGTTGCAGTCTGGTCCAGAGCTGCAACAATGAAAGTCCTGTTGTAGTAAACTGTAGTTTTCCTTCACCAATCTTAATATACGACACATCAGACATACTGAGAACACATGACGCTGGTTATATAGTTAGGTTATATATAACTGTTTCCTGTTTGTGTCTTGTGCATCGTAGGAGAGTCTCCGTGAATCCGGCTCCCAGGTGACTCTCCTGCAGCAGCAAGAACGAGAGAGAGAGCTGGAACGTGAGCAGGAGAGAGAGACGGAGAGAGAGAGGGATCGATCCACCGAGGCCCTGAGGGAGCTGGAGGTGAAAGTTCAGGCTCTGGTGGAGCAGGGGCTGGTCCGAATGGAGCGCTCCTCCTCTGGACACCTGGACATCCAGGTGGTCCCCGTCATCCAGCAGGAAGGTCAGAGTCGATCTCCACGATAAAATAGTCATTATTTCAGTTGTCTTGAAGCTTTACTTTAAGCTTAAAAGGTGCATTATTTTGAAGTGTCCCACGCTTAAAAGGTTCATGTAAAATTCCTTCAAACATTTGTTTTTTATTCAGATTTCGCAGCCTTGCAAAATAGAAATATGTAAACGTCTTTGCTGACCAGATCTAATTATAAACTCTAAATATTTTCTGGGCCGTTAGTTTAGAACCTCGTATCTACAGTTTATCTTCCGATGTATAAAGTTTCTAAGAATTCTTTCAGAACTTTTTCTGTTTTTCTTATAATCGGCATCAAATGACGTACTTTTCCAGGAAGCTTTTCAAGAAAATATTAAGGAAGTTATTGCAAGATAACTACTATGTTGAGGTTTTATGACTCCACTCTATGAATGTACAGAGATGAAAGGTCTCGTTGTTCCTCGACAGCTAAAGAAGAAGCAGATTCGGGTGAAAGCCTCGAGGCCTCTCCTCCATCCTCAGACCCTCAGCCTCCGCTCTCTGAGGCTCCTCTGCAGTCAGTGACAGTACAAGCTCCTCCTCCTCCAGACTTAACTGGAACTCCTCCTCCACCTCCTCCTCCACCACCAGCGGCTCCACCCCCCCTTCTTCCTCCAGGAGGTGGTACGACCCATCTATTAGGAGATCTGACTGATGGCAGCTCAGGTGAGTCCACAATCAGAGGGGGGGGGGGGGGGGCAGAGAAGATTGAAACTATCACTGATTTAAACCAACAGTAACAGCTTGAGGTGAACCTTTGTGTTTCTAAAGGTTGACCAGGTGTTTACAGCAGACTGTTAGTGATCCGCTCACGATTCACAGACTCTTTAGGTCGAGATCCTTTAACACGGTGTTTTATTTACATTGTTTTTAGATGCCCGAAGTGGTAAAACTGTTTATGTTGCAGGAAAAAAAGCAACCGATCCAAATATATTTATAGAGCACGCTTAGACAGTTAACGTTCTGTTCAATCAAATATAGCAAAGACGATAAAACAACACGATAATAGCAGATAATGACAACGTGAGACCATGAAAAATAACAGCAATGATCAGAGAAATATAGCCAATATGTATTGTTGAACTCTTTCTCTCCAGGTTGTAAAAAGAAGAAGCCCATTCAAACCAAATACCGCATGCCGCTGTTGAACTGGCAGGCCCTCAAGTCCAACCAGGTGGCCGGAACCGTCTTCAACGAGCTGGACGACGAGAACGTCTTAGAGGTTTGACCTCTTCCTGGTTCTACTGTCCGTTTGTGTCCACGTGCTGCTTACATTAAACATCCATTCTGATTCTCAGTCGATTCTAAATGTATTGATATACTTATTTTATTTTTATTAAATTAAGTTTGTTTATTGTTTTTTTTCTTTTAAAACAAAATAAATACTAAGCATCGACATAGAGCCCCCCTCTACGACGAATTATAATAAATAATTCATTACGGAGCGGGGGTTTAATGCGGGGGAGGGGTTTAATGCGGGGGGAGGGGTTTAATGCGGGGGGAGGGGTTTAATGCAGGGGGAGGGGTTTAATGTTCTCAGAAAAAACAAAGACTTTCTGAGATAAAAGCTGTAAATTCACAAGAAAAACAAACACTCGCAAATTAAAGAGAACTAAAAACTGTAATCAGTTTGTTGTTTTCTGCTCAATCGGCCCAATTCACAGAAACATCTAACGAGGTGATTCTGAGCTACAATCATGATTATCTCCTTTTCGATAAATCAGATTATTAATTATAATTTGATTAATTAATCCACTGCAGGTATAATACAAGAATACACGGCTGCTCTGTGTGATGACGTTGATCCATCCTGACAAAATGAAGCTTTTCCGAGTTTTTTTCTTGCAAATGTACGACTTTAATCTCAGAGAATATTAAACTTTTTTCCTCTGAATATTTCCTCCAATGGTCCCGTCGGTCCCGTCCCGTTACAGACAATACAACCGTTATTAAAACCTTCGTTGGCTGTGAAAGCAGCAGTCTGATCGTCAGCCTTTACACCATCAGGTTTGTTATGAAACGTTAAATTAAGAAGCTTATAGAAATCCTCTTAACTCTAATCAGTAATGCTGAAGCCAGACTCCAGTCTACTGAATATACTTCTGTTTTGGCTTCTAACAAACAAAAATAAATCAATTTACATTTCTTGTAACAGAAAAAACAGAGGCTCCGATCCACCAGGTGTGACTTTTACACCTGAGCGTTTCCTGCTGTAACAAACCAACATGTCTACTGTGAAATATGTTTATTATCCCCAAAAAGAATGAACTACATCCATCAGTTGTTAATCCCGTCTCTGCATACTTCTCTCTCTCTCTTTCCTCGCCTTTCTCAGGAGCTCAACATGGAGACTTTTGAGGAGCAGTTCAAGACCAAGGCTCAGTCGGCCCCTGTAGAACTGGGGACCCTCAAGATGAAACTGGCCCACAAGACCCCCAGTAAAGTGTCTCTGATGGAGCCCAACAGGGCCAAGAACCTGGCCATCACTCTGCGCAAGGAAGGAGTGGCTGCATCCGATATCTGCTGTGCAATCGAGACGTACGTACCCGACTCATGTAACCAGCATTGGTACTGGTTTTTATTACCTCACACCAGTAAGTGACTGCACTGCCGGCCCCCCACAGGTACAACCAGAGGGCTCTGAGTCTGGACTTCCTGGAGCTGCTGGAGCGCTTCATCCCCACGGAGTACGAGACGAAGCTCATCCACGGCTACGAGTGCGACGGGAGGCCCCTGGACGAGCTCAGCGAGGAGGACCGCTTCATGGTGCGCTTCAGCAAGATCCCGCGGCTCTCGCAGCGCATCAGCACGCTCACCTTCATGGGCAACTTCAGCGAGAGCGTCCAGCTAGTACAGCCGGTGGGTTCACGAGTCAGCGCCATCACAAATGTATACCTCCGCCAGGAAATAGTCCCGCAACAAAAGATTGGTTTTCTATAACTCCCGTTACTTATTGTTGAGAACATAATATTTCAGACATTCAAGGACCACGTGTTTGTTTATTTATTTATTCTTTATTTGGATCCTCATTAGCTTCCACAAAGTGATCGATGTTCTTCCTCCCAGCAATTTACAGTATCAATAAAACAAGAAAAGTCAAAACTAGCCAAATATAAAGATCAGTAAATAAGTTAAAAGACTACATATGAACAAAAACAATATTACACAAACACACAGCAAGAAAAATAAACTAAAAACAATCAGAAAAACACTTTAACATTTCATCTTGAAGAACTGAACACAACGAGGCTCAATGTAAATCAAACACCACTTTAATCTGCTGATGTCAGACATCTTGGATCTGTGTTTACATACCAACAACGATCTCAACAGTTTTCATCTCTTTCTGGCAGCAACTGAACGCCGTCATCGCCGCCTCGATGTCGATCAAATCCTCCAGCAAGCTGAAGAAAGTCCTGGAGGTGAGAACAGAAGAGTTTCTTGTTTTTATTGTGTTTTTACTTTTCTGACCGTGACTCTGCTTCACGTCGTGTTTAGTTCATCAGTTCATTTCATGTTCAGGGAGCGATGGAAACCTAAACTATAAACATATTGCTCATAAACAACCATCTCTGAATGTGAAAAGAAAAGAAGCTGACGTTTAAGATCTCTTCACTTTAGTGCAGATTGTCATTTGTTGTAGAAACAGTTCTCACTGAAGATAGAAGTACGGTGGCCCTGAGAGCTCAATGCACTCATTATTAATAATTATGAATGAAGAGTTCAGGAGCAAAGGATGAAACATCTTCACCAACTTAACGTCACATGAGCAGCATTTAGTATTTAAAGAGTGTTGCACACGGCCGGTTTGTGATTTATGAAGTCACTGATGTCTGTCTGTTGGAAAATGACCTAAAATAAAACATATCAGCAGTTAATGTAGAGTTAGCCTTCATATTTATAAACGATATCTAAATCATGCCATCACAATGACGACTTAAATAACTTCATAATCCACAAACAACAGCGCGTGTGCGTCACTCTTAAGCGTCCCCAGGAAACAGTTCCTGTTGTATTGTGAGCTACTTGCAGCACTTTTTCTAAATACTGCACATGAATGTGTTTGTGAAGATGTTTCCACATTCACGTGTGTGTTTTGTCTTTTTGCATATGTTTGTTTTTTTAATTTGCAGTGCTTTGAGCTCTCAGGGCCACCGTAGAAAAGGCCTTTTATGTTTTACTGTTTTTTACATGATGGTATAAAGACTCCAGTGTTTAGCAAGTGTCGCTCTTTCCTTTTGACTTTCTCTGGTTGAACAGTTAGAAAGTATTTGTTTTTAGAACCTTTTATTTGTAGTTTGGGAGAAGGCGGAGTCACAGCTCTTTGGTGTCTTATCATTTTAAGTCAAAGTCGGCTGCGCTCTTCTGTGTGAATGATGCAGACGATTCTACTTGTTGTCATGTTAGTTTTGTGACGTCATAGTTTCTGTCTGTTTCTGACGTAAAGATCATCTTAGCATTTGGAAACTACATGAACAGCAGCAAGCGAGGGGCAGCGTACGGCTTCCGCCTGCAGAGTTTAGATCTGGTGAGTCAAGAAAGCTCCTGAAACTCTTTACTTCATCGCTTCCTTTGAACATTTGTGTTTTAATTGTTTTTATTTCTCACTATCTGAAGCTGTTAGACACCAAGTCTACAGACCGGAAGCAGACATTGCTGCACTTCATCGTCAGCATCATCCAGGAGAAATACCCCGACGTCCGGTCCTTCTTCACAGAGCTGCACTTCCTGGACAAGGCGGCGCTGGGTGAGCACGCGAACGGAGGCGTTCAATAAAAACCTTTAATATCATTTATTTTAGTTTAAATTGAACGGATCTACGGTTGAAAATGAAATCCCACAGAAATCCCACGTGTGCAGATGTGAATGTTATGTGTTTAATGAGGAGTTATGAAAGTAGAAAGATCACTTTAATTATTATTTTTTTTAAATCAAACACAAGTTACAATGAATACACACACACATACATACAGTATACACACACACACATATATATATATACATACATGTACACATATATACATATACAAATGATAGTAAATAAATTAAAATAAAGATAACGTTGTAATATACAGACATACACTGACTCCAGATTGTATTGAAGACTCTCGTCCAGGATGAGATCCTTTAGCACCGTGTTTTCTACTGAGAGCTCCATGTTTACATCTATCTGACCACTGAGGCTCCGCCAGCATTGATCACTTCATTCACATTTCTTCCTGTGTGCAGATTGTCTCGCAGTGCGTCCTCTACGTCGGCATTTATACACCAAACAATCTAATCCCCGTACCATTGAGTGCTGATAAAGGAGGTAGAGCTGAACCTCTCTCTCGCGCTCTCTCTCGTGTAGTTTCTCTCGACAGCATCCTGCAGGACGTGCGATCTCTGGAGAGAGGCATGGAGGTCACCAGGAGGGAGTTCTCTGTGGAGAAAGACAATCCTGTGCTGCAGACGTTCCTCAGCAGCAACACCGAGCTGCTCCACTCGCTTATAGCTGATGGCAAAACCGCCCAGGTCAGCTTTAATGACCACCAAAACACACATCAACCACATGATGTATGTATGATTTACTGACGTCTGTGTTTTCCAGGATGTGTACGACTCTGCCGTGGAGTACTTTGGAGAGAACTCTAAAACCACGCCGCCCTCCGTCTTCTTCCCTGTGTTCGTGAGGTTCATCAAAGCATACAAGGTGAGACGACGCTTCCTCTTATTGATCCGCGGCATGAATGGAGTCACTGAGCTGCTGCTAATGGAGAGAAAGCAGCTCCTTACAGCCCATCAGTGAGCTAATGCCCCGCTCATCAGTAGACCTTCAGAGGCAGACACGTTTTAAAAGACTTTCTCTCCGACAGCAAGCCGAGCAGGAGAACGAGAGGACGAGACAACAAGTCCTGAACTGTGACGCTCCATCAACTCCACCTAAACATGAAGTCACGGGGAGAAAGGTAACGCTTTAAAATGTCGTGCAAACAGCTGATGAACATGTGTTTTCTTTCCTGTTCTTTGTCTTTTCTTATTAACACAATATACATACATACTGTACTAGTATAAGTAATCAACCCTGAGAAGTGAAGCAGGTTCCTCGACAAAAAGAAGAAGGTTTTCTTGTAAATTTAGGACTTTATAATCTCCAGGACCAGAGCAGACTGTCAGACCCTGCTGCAGTAACATGAGACGTTTCTAAACGGAGTCTCAGGAACACTACCACTTTAGCCCACAGGGGGCGCCAGAATCAACACAAAATGAAAATGAGTGACTAAGTTCTTGGTTGACTGCTTTTATTTCCTGCCCTCTACAATGTTCTTCTGACCCACTTTGAGGTACATTTTTGATTAGCAATTTTGGGACGTATGAATAAGATCCACAGCCGAAACTACCAAAATGAGATCCACGCTTTGAGAGAGTTATTATCCTCGAGAAGGAGCTGACATCAGCTCAAAGAGGAAAGTCACATTCAGACACCTTTGATTGTTTCAGGTCTGTGTGACGTCCAAACTGCCACAGATGGACCTGATAGCAGAGCTGAAGAGGAGGCAGGTGTCTCCTCTGGTGAGGGAGGGGAAGGACGGAGCCATCGAGGACATCATCACAGGTACACCTGCTTTACGGTCCATTGACTCTAAATAAAATGAACCCTCTACATTACTAAACATCTCCTCCTGTTTACTCTTCTAGGAAACTCACATCTTCACTCTTTTCTTTCTTTTAAGGCTAACCTCTCTTTAATTTGTCCTTGCCTGCCTTCCTCTCTTTCTCTGCTGTTTGTCGCTCCTCTCTCCCCGTTGTTTCTCTGCTGTCTCCAGCTCTTAAGTCCGTGCCCTTCACGGCTCGCTCTGCCAAACGCTCCTCTCGTCTCTTCTGCGACTCCGTCTTCAGCGACGAGGTGACGTCGTCTTCTTCTTCTTCTTCTTCTTCTTCTTCTCTCTTCCACTCCACTGAACGAGCAGCCGTTTCTCTCTCACTGCACCTTTAAACTCTTTTAAAATTCACATATTTGTGTTTGTTTTTCTCAACTTATTACAACTTTATTCTCAGAATATCAGTTTCTGCCCTTAATATTCCCTGAATGTTGTAAATAAATTAATCTGAACTATACAGTTTTGTTTTTATACTATTGAAACGTTTCTCCTCACAAAATTACAACTTTATCTTGTGACAGTTTTTCTTATCATGTCACAACTTCATTCTTAAAATCATCAGCCCTGATGATTTGTACGTGAGAGAAGATATCAATACTTTTACTTTTTGTTTTGCTAATTACATACTTTTACTTGAGTTAAGTGTCGACTGTCTCGAACTATTGGTGAAGTTGTTTCACAGCGAGCTGTTAGTGCTTTTGCCTAAAGGACCTTAATATTACAACACAAAGGTGTTGAAGAGTTTTGTCCTCGGTGTGTTCCGTTCTTCGTCCTCAGATTTAAGGAATCAGCCGTACAGACGGACGGACGCCGGCAGACGCAGCGCCAAGTGGAAACCGGGACAACAGCTCCACGTGTCCTCGGACATCTCCCTCTGAAAACCCCCCGCGGACCACCGCGAAGGCTTCAGCTGCTAAAGCTCAACACCATCAGCTGTTTGTCTCCTGCACGCTTGAAGATGCAAAGTGTGTGCGTTACAGCGAGGCGTCTCTCTGACAGAAGGAAACTCTTTGGGATGATCGTAGAAAACGTCGTGCGATTAGAACGATCGACTGTTAACGAGGAAGATTGTTAGCTCGATGCTAACGACGCCGGATGTCACGAGAGCTCGTTAAGACAATTACACGGAAGAATTCAGCTGACCTGTAACAAAGAGGGCTTCATTAACGCTTCAATCTTCAAACGCAATCACAACAAAGTTTGACCGACAGACGACTCATAAATCATTTTGATAGTTTTCTCTTAAAAATGCTCTAGACCTGATTTTTTTAAATTGCTTTTATTTTAAATAGAACATCTTAATCACCACCGCTGTCCATCTTCCTCACAGATTTAGGCTGAAGATTTGTAATATAATTAAATTATTTTAATACTGAAGTGTAAGAATGAGTAACTTTGCTTCTGCGTTTTCAACAAATAAAGCATTTTGTACCGTTATTGACTCGGTGTGTTGTTCCTGTTTGCTGTGATGCGATCGATGGATACCGACTCCTGCAGCATGTCGGTGTTTAGCCTCCGTGTTGGTTGAGCAGTAAACGCCGGCTGAGGTTTGGTGGATATTTGATCATAAACCAAAGTATCTGATCAGTTAGAAAATGTTTTACGTTGTATACTGATTTCTTATGACATGTATGTGGTATAATATACTATAACCTTTTAATTACACATCGTCTGACTGTGACTTATTTATTACTTTCTTTTTTCTTTGCTTATTTCTTTTTATTTATAAAATGACTTTACTTGTCGTGACTTTTTTTCGACATGCTATACTATGAGTTTAAAATTCTATCAGGTACAAACTTCCAGAGGAAGTGTTCATGGTTCCTGTTACTATGAAGTGTGTGAGTGTTTAAAGATGAACACGACCAACGTGATCTTCACTTCAGGTGCTTTTAATGCTGTATTTAATGCAGATCAACAGGTTTTGTCCACTTCCTGGTTTCACTGCCTCAGTGAGAGCAAAAGTTTCTCCACTTCTGCGCTCATCTCCTCCATGTCCTCTGTGATTGTCTTCATTTGTTTCGCTGCTTCTTCAATTCTGGAAACAAACCTCGGCAGATCTGAGGCGATCCGAGAGTCGATGTGAAGTTTCACCATCGAGGCCACGGAAGTCAGAGTCTTGGCGGTTTGCCGGCTACGCCACGCACGACGGCGCTGGAGGCCATCTTGTTGCTAATGGTTCTTCTTTCTCTATGTTTGTTACCAAAACCTACTTTTTAATAAACCGGATTCTTAATGAACAGAAGTTGATGAGCTAATGAGCTACGTAGCTTCCTGGCTCTCCATTTCCTGTCTCTTGTTTGTTTGTTTTAGCAACAATGCGTCACTTTATAGAAGCTGCTGCGAGCAGATCAATACACGACGCTTTAAGGGACGTTCGTTTAGACAGATGTGGCGCCATCTAGTGGGGAGGATGCAGATTGCAACTAACTGGAACTTCTCCGGTGAGTGTCGACGGTTTGTCCTTTCTGGGCCTCCGTAGGAACATGGCCGCCGACTCTAAAGAGAAACCCGATTTCTGCCAACAGATCCCTAAATGCTTCTGTTTGTTTAAACAGCTGCTGTTCTCATCATCAGAAAATGCTAAAAATGTCTTAAATTAAACATGATGAAATATTTTCAGGTTTTGGACTAAGAGTCTGACAGAACAAGATATTTGATATTGTATATACAGTATATATGGACCAAACAATGAATGAATAATAAAAAACAATGAATCATCACGACTCACAGCCGTCGTGTATAAGAGGGTCACCTTTATTGTCACAAAAACACAACAGGAATTTACAAAAGCAGCAAACCTTTGTTCAGTTTTCTTCTTTTTTTTGTGATTGGTTGATTTTTTTCTCACACGAAGCAGCAACTTTTACTCTCCACACACAAAGTTGCGCTTGGTGTGTTGCTCTGTTTAGTTGGTCTTTAGTAAGTTATACTGACTCGGTAGTAGATTATCATTCTTCTTCACAATTCACAAACAACACTTACCGCACACAGCGAGCATCACTCTCAGACTGGAGGAACAGTTGAGATACAACATCGTCCCGATATCTTTCTCAACACGTATAATAATAACAATAATCATCTTTTTGTATTTATTCTGACAGTAAAAGGGGCTTCGCTCACCCATTTTTCAACATAATAGAAAAATCTATGTTACTGTACAGTTGTTGTTTACTCTATCATACACTCACAAGTATACACAGAATTATTGACGAGAAGATTTGACCTGTGTCGACGCCGCGTGCAGATGTCCAGGAATGTTTACAGTATGCATGCCTTTTTAGATTAGCTTTATCTTTTCTTTCCCCCCCCGTCTAAAAAAATTTCCACATAAAACTTTTGTAATATATCATTTGGGTTTATATACATTTTTGAACTTCCACAAATGGTTTGAACAATCACACATTCATCATAAACCACCGATAGAGTTTAAACTGTGCCGTGTACGTAGAGACTATTGGTTATAGTAGAGGGAATATGTGCTTTTTTATAAATGTGGTGGTACTTGTGTATTCTTCTGGAGAACCTCCCGCTGCTGTGTGATCATGGTTTCAATGGTTTAAAATCAGAAAAATAATAATTTACAGAATAAATGTGTTACATGCTCATGAATCCTCATCTTCAAGTATAAAAATACAAAAAAACCTTGATTATATAAAACATAGATGATGCTTTTTCTTTTTTACATGTTAATAAAGCGATTTCTTCAAAAGAAAAATGGTTTTATAATATACATACAATATATCTGTGAAGTGGTTCCGGTTATACTTTAACTGTCTACTAATACATTCCATAAATGTATTTACTACACGGTGAAACATCTGCCTGTGGTATAAGTACACACTCACAGCGAGACGTTAATATTTTCCTCCAGCTAAATGTCAAACAGAACAAAGTCCGTCTTCGTCTCGTTGTTTTAGACACAGTTCAAATATCCGTCACGTTAACAAAGAACAAAGAAATGTGACAGTAAAATCCTGGCTGTGTCCCAATTTCACACCTCATACTACATACTTTATATTATATACTAATCTTAATAGTATGGGTTGTTTTCTGATGTACTTTTCTTATACACGTCAATCAAACTGCGAATTGATCTGTTTTTCAAGATCTTCCTGAGCTTTTCTCTCGGAACATCCACATTTAGTTTTAAAGGGTCAGTGTGCAGGATTCTGGCGCCATCTAGTGGTGAGACTACAGATCGCAACCAACTGAAACTTTTCCAGTGTGTCAATCTGAAGAAGAGAAACCTAAATGTCCCTATCGAGATCCATGGTTTGGTTTGCCCGCTCTGGGCCACCGTAGAAACATGGCGGACTCTGTGAAGAAGATATAAACGACTCATTCTAATGTCACGAAAACACGTTGATTCTTAGTTTCAGGTGAATAAACACCAATGAAAACATACTTAATAATATGTTTTTGCTAATAGATCCACCTAAACGCTGCACACCGGCCCTTTAAAGGGAAACTCCAACTCATCTGCACATGAAGATCAGTCTACTTGGCGTATCAAGAAAGTCGAACCTGCCTCAACTTTCATCACAACGTGATCCGTCAACAAGCCAATCACAAACATCCCGGTAGATTACTTTACAGCAGGAACGGCATCGATGAAAAGTCACCACAGCGACAGAGTTTTGTGTTTTAGCGACTGATGAACCTTCACACTCATGGATCCGTTACTCAAACTGGACTTCCTGGATTTTATTTGTTTGTTTTTGTACGACGTCGGGTATTAAACGCGTTTACACCGGATCCGAACAAGTCAAAAGCCGTTACAGAGTGCGAGGAGGCGTGAAGTCGCTTAAAATCAGATATAATGGAGCACATTTTCAGACATTTTCAGACCGTTTCTCCTGGAAGACATTCATAGTGTTTGTTCACATGGAGAGAGAAGTTTAAATCTATTTAATCCTTTAATCCGACGGAGGAATGAGGAGAACAAGCAGTTCTGAAGAAACATACTGGTCGCTTGATTGTAACACGCTATCAAGGTGCATTATGGGAAATGTAGGATCCCGGTTGTTTGGAGTTTGACCAACATTAGCGACTAAGATTTTGGGGTATTTGTTGATCGAATTTTGACTAAATTCTTACTTCAATCCGTCCCCAAACTTCATGGAAGAGCAGTACTAAACATGTGTCCGTACCGACTGTTGACAAACTATTTTGGAGACTGGCTTCTCTGAGTGTCGTGGACACACTCTGCTCGGTGGGTAGTGAGTAATTGGGACACAGATATTGTGTTCAGATTGTTCCCCCCGCTGGATTCAGACTGCAGGTTTAGAGCCGATGCAATTACCTCCAAATGTCTAAATCTTTATCCGACGTGTCTAATGCAGTCCGATGAGGGAGAGATGTGATCACTTCATCTAATTATTAATGTGCTATCATCCTCTCTGTCTCCCTCTGAGCTCATCAAGTCGGACAAATTTATTCAAATGACAAAATCTCACACTTTCAAGGTCTGAACTAGAGTACGAGTCCAGAAGCAGACTGATCCGAGGCTGATCCTCACGTTATTAGTCCAGCTGAGACCTGAGAAGCAGACAGAGAATGAAAGAAAGCAAAGAGGCAGATCTGCTCACGGAGAAGAAGCAGCGGAGGGAAACGTCAGAGGAACTGATGGTGATCGGCCAGAAAGCATGAGCAGCGTTTACTGCTGGAGCACGAAACAAATCTCAGCACTGCCCCCCCCCCAAAAAAAAGCAAGCAGAGAGGGAAGAGTTAAAGAGCAAAACAAGAAAAAGGTCAAAAACAAGGCGAGGACGAGTTTGAATGAAAACAAGAAGCAGTGAGGGGGAAAGAAAACAGACAAAAATCAAAATTTACAAACAGACAAATGTATTTCAAGTTTTAGTTCAATGTCACATGACGAGGTTTTCTATGTGACGCCCTCCCTCCCTCCTCCCTCCATCCACTCGCACTACTCTACGCTTCAGCCTCCTGATTGGCCGGCGGGTTTTGGTGCATCGGCGTGACCGTGCTCGTGCTCCTGAGGAGACGAGAGACTGTCGCTGAGCTGCAAAAACAGCCAGAAATGAAGCAGTGATCACAGTCTGCTGTCAGAAAACATGTCCTCAGCTCCTCCTCCTCCTCCTCCTCCTCCTCTTCTTCTTCTGTGTGTGGCGCAGGGAGGAGGGACGGGGTGGACAGGGAGGAGAGGAGGGAAGATAGAAGAGGAGGGATCATCTTAATGCACAGAATGAGGGAGGATGAGAGGAGAGGAAACAAGGAAAGAGAGGAAATGAAGGTAAGGAGAGGAGAGGATACAACAAGATAGAAATAAAGGAAAAGGTAATCAGGGGAAAAGAGATGATGAGAGGAAACAAGGAGAGGAAAGGAGATGAGGACAGGAAACAAGAAGAGGACAGGGGAGGAAACAACAAGCACAGATGATGAGAGGAAACAAGTAGAGGAGACAAGGAAAGGAGAGGTGGGGAAAGGAGATTAGACGTGGAGAAGAAACAAGGGGAGGAGAGATGAGATTAGGAAGTGAGGAATGAAGGGGAGAGGAAGCGAGGAGAGAGAACAAGAAGATGAGATAAGAATAGGAGACGGGAGGAAAGAAGAGACGAGCGAAACAAGGGAACAAGGAGAGGAGTGAGAGATGAGCAGAGGAGAGGAAACAAATAGAGGTGAGCAAAAAAGTGAAGGAAACCACAAGAGGACACAGGAGGAGTAAATGAGGAGAGGAAGAAGAAGAGATAATCTCTTTTATGAGCCGAGCCTCCTGGGTGTTGGTGAGAAAACACGTCCTTCTATCTTTCCTTCTATCTTTCCTTAAACACCTCGGAGTCTCAGAGGCTCCTTTAGGAGCCGAATAAACAAACCGGCATCGTCCCCTCCTGAGAGGCTCCTCGGGTCACTGCTGACAGTCAGTTAGTGTCCTTAAGAGGTAGAGACAGAGGACGCTTCTCAATCTCAAGGAAGCATCCTTCAAAGGCAGAACTCCAAGGATGCTACGTCATCGAATCCTGAGGAAAAAAGACCGTTCCAACGTCCGGGACCCTTCAAACTCTACCTCCGTTGGGAGGATTTTGGAGGATCCTCAGAGCACCTAAATTACCCACAATCCTTGGCGAACGATGCATGGTCGATCCCCCGGAGTGTAAAAACAGGGGACATATGCTCGTAAACATTCAGTTACTTCACCTCGACAGTCCGCCAAAATCAGTTTCTGAACAAATGAATGGCGAGAAATTCTGTCTGGTCGGTTTGAGGAGACGAACAAGGAACGCAAAATCAATGTCCCTGCTCGAAATGGTAACATACTGAATTATTCTAAAATAAAAATAGAACATGCTTCTTCTGTTCCAATAAACGGCTTAAGTTCAACAATGACAGGAAGCAGGAGGCGTTGACGAGGTGCTGCTCAGTACCGACTCTCCCAGCGCTCAACAGAAGCGCCGGCAGAAGGTGCAGCACCAGCAGCCTCGCACAGGGAGTATTCAGTGCAACGCCCTTTTATTACTGCAGCACAGCAGCAACACATAAACTGTGTCCAATTAGAAGCCACACAGATCAGCAGCAGACGGAGCATTCGGTCGCATTGTCTCGTAGACGGATGCTGAAGTCTTAATGGTTAACGAACATTTCTCAATACTAATGCACTGATCGGCCCGAAGGCGGCTGCATCGTTCAGCCACAACAGAAGAGGAGAGATTAACAAAATAAAGTGACTTTAAAGTGACTGAGATGGAAGAAAATGAGTCGTTTTATGGTGAAACATTTACTAAATACACGAGACTTCATTTATCACTGTAAGTTTAGAGGGATTTATAATCTACTTTATAATAACATTAATAAATGACAGATAGTGAATCAAACCTCAGTTATTCCACAAACAATGAAAAGGTTATCAATAATGTTTACTAATTATTAGTCATGCTATAACTAATGTTATTTTATCAGCTTATTGTTCCACACATTATAACATTTTAAGTATTTGTTAATGATTACCAAATGCCTTGTTAATTGAGATACATGAGACCTTGTAAAAGGTTAATAACTGGTTAGTAAAGCATCTATAAACATGATTTAGATGTTAATACTTTAGTTTCTGATCCATCTTTTATAATGACACCATGGTCTGGTGCACGCTGTCCATTAATACCTGATAGACTCCTCAAGGAGCATTGTCCACTATATGTTTTACAAATCATTCAGAAAGTATGAACATATTATATAAAGTGTTTTAATGTCTGCAACAATAAACTACTAACTGTTATCTTCTATCAGCTAAGATACAACACACAGTTTATAAACAATGATATTATGACATAAATCATAGCGTAACTAGTAATAATGATTAATTGTCATTTCATTGTTTGTTAACAGTAAAATAAGTAGAAATCAATTCATTCATTACTGATGTTATTATGAAGTGTTAGAGGATATTTGTTCATGTTTAAAGAGATCATCTCTATCCTGATGTCGATGACGACTTAATGCAAGAAATATTACGTATAATTAGACTTATTTTCTTGCCGGCTCTCTGGGTGATACATGTTTAAAGAGCAGTAAGTGAAATGAGGCACAGCAGAGTGTGAGTTGATGTTGAGACCGGCCCTGAATGCTAATGCTGGAGCTCTCCGTGTGGGTCGGGTGGAGGTTAGCTGAGCGCTAACAGGAGCTCCTCTCAGAGAAGAACCTGGAAACACTCCGGCTGGAAACTCTAAAGAAACTTCTCAATGAGTTGCTGCGTGTTTAATGTGGTGAATTCATGAATTAATCAGATTCCTTTGAAACAGCTGAGACGACGGTTGTGGGTTAAAGTATGGATCGGTGTGAAGCGGTGATCCCCGGCTGGGACCGACCGGCTGCTTTCATTTCCTCTCTTCTTCGCGGGTATTTTGTATTTTCTTTTTTAAAGGAGGCCGTGAAGGATGAGGTCAAGGCTGCTCCACTCAGCAGATCGGGGGGGGGGGGCCGCTTCACACCGATCCATACTTTAACCCA